TATTGTGTGCCTTCTTTTGCATGTTCTAGATCCATGTTCTCACTACAATATATTTAACAATTAAAATAATACCTTGTTGTTTAGTCATTTAGTCGTGGCCGACTACTACAATATATTAAACAATTAAAATAATACCTTCTTGTTGTTTAGTCGTTTAGTCGTGGCCGACTCTTCATGACCCCATGGACACCAGGCCCTCCTGTCTTCCACTGCCTCCCGGAGTTGGGTCAAATTCCTGTTGGTAGCTTCGATAACACTGTCCAGCCATCTCATCCTCTGTCGTCCCCTTCTCCTCTTGCCCTCACTCTTACCCAACAACAGGGTCTTTTCCAGGGAGATCATATAAAAATTATATCTACATGAGCACAAAAAGCAGCGGAAAGACAACACTTGTGTCTGTCAGTATTCTCTGTGCGGCTGCATTTAATACACTTCAGTAGCATTTATATTTTGCCCTGCTTGTTTCTTTGAAACAAACAAACAAACAATTTGAAATGAATCTTACCTCCTATCAATATCTTAAAATATTTTTCAACAGTCTGCCTGTCCCTTTCACATGTTTTGGAGCACTGAAGAAGGATGGAATCTCTGTGCTTTCTGCTTTCTTGCCTTAGTAATCCTTTTATCCACCTTCCTTTTAATTTCTAAGCCAGTGTCACCAAAGCCCTGCCTCACAGCAGCCCTGGGAGGAAGGCAGGCTAAAGAAGAAGAATATAGAACATTTTGAAATATAGTACAATATCTGCATTAATACATTGCCACTCTAATAAAAGATAGACATAAGCTAATATAAACATTGAAGAAAGTTTTCTTTCTACTTATATAGTAACACAGAGGTAGTATTCATAACAAAGGAAGCAAAACCTCTACAAAAGTTAACTAAGATGTCTATATCTGTATCTATATCTTTATCTATAATTCATTAAAAACCTATTGTATAACAAGGATCCCGATGAAGTGGATAGGAAGGGGATCCAGTTGTCATATTACACAATCCATTACTTACTATAAGCTGTGAAGCTGCCAATTCACCACATCTCAGGCTAACCATTGTTTGAATGCAAAACAGTTTTTAAAGAATAAAATTTAAAAAAACACAATTGAATATTGGCAGATATATATTGCGAACATAGTATTATGATAAAATCATGTACAATTTTCAGTTCATCCTCTGGGTGTCGCTGTTCACCACTCAACCTGACTTGTGTTTTTCTTAACACACACTTTCAAACTGACAGAGAGATCATCTTTGCATGGACGGACATTTTAGGGACTCTACGGAAATTCTGAACAATATTTTGAAACATATTATCTTTATAAACCCATTGAATTCAGACCCAACAGCTTCTGAGCAAGAATTGGTCACAAGGGTATGGGAGAGAATAAGAAGCTATGGAGCTACAAAGACAGAATCTGCCTGCAGTGCTTCATGATGGTGCTCATTTGGGAGACTATTTCTGCACAGATCCATTATTCCATTCCAGAGGAGATGCAGAAAGGCTCTTTTGTGGGGAACATTGCAAAGGATCTAGGAATGGACCGAAATCACCTTTCCGATCGTGAATTCAGGATTCTTACCAAGGCAGGTATGATTCAGTATTTTGTTTTGAACTACAACAGTGGTCATTTACAAACCACTGAGAGAATAGACAGGGAAAAAATCTGTGGAAAGGCAGAGAAGTGCACCTTAAATTTTCAGGTTATTGTTGAAAGTAAAAGAAAACTTTATGGTGTTGAAGTGGAAGTTACTGATATAAATGATAATGCTCCCCAATTTCCTCCAAGAGAGCAGGAGGTGAAAATTAATGAAATATCTGTGCAGGGATCTCGATTTCCTCTGCCTGAAGCTCAAGATCCAGATCTGGGCATGAATTCTATACAGAGCTACCAACTCACAGGCAGTGGTCATTTTTCACTGGAGATTCAAAGAGAAGAAAATGGTGCCAGACTTCCTCAGCTGATTTTGGAAAAACCTCTGGATAGGGAAGAGCAATCTGTTTATGATTTGATCCTCACAGCCACTGATGGGGGTGACCCAGTCAGAACCGGCACTACACAAATCAAAGTAAATGTTCTGGATGCAAATGACAATGCACCAGTTTTCAGCCAACAAGTCTATGAAGTTAGCATGGAAGAGAATATTCCCAAAGGCTCCGTCATCTGTAGAGTCCAAGCAACAGATCTGGATGAAGGAGTCTATGGTGAGGTGAAGTATTACTTCAAGAAAACGGCTGAAGAAGATGCACAGTTATTTCTTCTAAATTCAACAAGTGGCATAATAACACTTATTGGAGATCTTGACTTTGAGATGTCATCTTTCTATGAATTTGAGGTGCAAGCTGAAGATTATGGTGGGTTGTTTACCAGGGCAAAAGTTGAGATTACAGTCAAAGATCAGAATGACAATGCACCAGAACTAACAGTAACTTTTCTTGCCAACACCATCCAGGAGAACTCAGCAGCTGGAACAGTTATTGCTATTATAAATGCAGAAGATAAAGATTATGGAATCAATGGTGAGGTCACATGCTCAATCCCCAAGCATCTTCCTTTCCAGCTGAAAAAATCTATAGATAACTTCTATAGTTTGGTAGTGACCAGTGCCCTTGACAGGGAAGAAGTAGCAAACTACAACATCACTATCACAGTAACTGACCATGGGACACCTCCTCTTTCGACAGCTACTGTGATACCATTACAACTGTTGGACACAAACGATAATGCACCTAGCTTTGCAAAATCAGACTACACACTGTTTTTAATGGAGAATAACCAGAAAGGAGCTTCCATTTTTAGTCTGAGAGCGAATGATCTAGACTGGGAAGAAAACTCAAGAATAACTTATTCAATCACTGAAGAAAATATTAATTCTTCCCCAATCTTCTCCTACCTCTCCATTAATTCTGAAACGGGAGTCATCTATGCTTTGAGCTCCTTTGATTTTGAAGAGACGAAGGAGATCAACTTCCAGGTGAAGGCCGAGGATGGAGGCTCCCCACCCCTCAGCTCCAATGTCTCTGTGACCCTCTTCATCTTGGATCAGAATGACAATGTGCCAGAAATCCTGTACCCTTCCCCTCCCACCGATGGCTCCACTGGGATAGAGCTGGCTCCTCACTCCTCAGAGCCAGGTTACCTGGTCACTAAGGTGGTGGCTGTGGATGCAGATTCTGGCCAGAATGCCTGGCTCTCCTACCAGCTGACCAAGGCCACGGAACCAGGGCTCTTTGCTGTGGGGCTCCACACTGGAGAGATCAGGACAACTCGGTTCTTTCTGGAGAAGGACTCCCTCAAGCAAAGCCTGGTGATTTTGGTCAAGGACAATGGGCAACCATCTCTTACTGCCTCAGTGACAGTGACTGTGGTGCTGGCTGACAGTATCCCTGAAATCCTCTCAGATCTGAGCAGTATCTCATCTCCCATAGATCCCCCTTCAGATCTCACCTTCTACCTGGTAGTTGCAGTGGCTTTTGTCTCTTGCTTGTTCTTCACCTTCCTCCTTGTCTTACTGGCTATCAGGCTGCACAGATGGAGAACTTCTCAGCTGCTTGAGTCAGGGAGTGTAAACTTTAGTGGTGTTCCTGTGTCACAGTTTGTGGGGATTGATGGAGTCCGGGCCTTTCTCCACTCTTATTGCCATGAGGTTTCTCTGACCACAGATTCTAGGAAGAGTGAGTTTAATCCTTCTAAGACAATCTATTCCAAAACCTTGAGCAATCAACAGAATTGTGAAGTAAACAATCCTATTCTTGTGGATGAAGACCTGAATTTGACCAGTGGAGATGATGTCAGAGTCCCGGTAAGCTATGTTCTGTTCTTCTTGTATCTTGAGAGAAACTTTGCTGAAAACTTTGTCTTGAATTTTTTCAGAGCAATAAACATGCTGGTTTTAATTTTATTCTAAACACAGCTGCTGCGGATAGCTGCCTTTTGCTTTCCTCATCATATCACATTCCTAGAACCTGTAAGATAGGAAACATTATATAGTTGCATGGAGGTGTTTCACACTCACTCCCTATTCCCGCAAGCAGTGAGAATGGCAAGAATGCCATTTTAGTGAGCAGTTGGGTTTCTTTTGAGCTTTTTTTGCTGCCATGTTTGGATATTGCCATGTTTGTTACACCTGACACATTGCTACGCTTATTAGACGCACCTGAAAATATTCATGTTCAATGTACAGGACCCATGTACAAGACCCATTTGAAAATAGCAAAGAGAAAATACCAAGGAGAAATTGCACAAGCATTTTTCACATTTTCCAGGCTGTTTGTGACACGCTTGGTTGCATAATCGAGTATATGACCCAGATATATTCGTAAGCACATAATAACCAGACAGAATGATTTCACAAACCAATTACACAAATTTTGTGTAATTGGTTTGTGAATTATTTGATTCATAGACTGAGGCCTTTTTTGCAGGAAATAAGGCATCCAGTTCCAGAATCTACAGGGATATATTCTGTGTAGATTAACCAAGTGCAGAATGTTTAATGGGCCATGTAATGAGTTTTACCATTCATATTTTATAATACATCCATATCTTCAGGCTGCAAAAATTTTAATTTATTGAAACAATATTGCCATGATCATGAGACAATTTACATTTCACACAAACAAGACTTCTAGTGGGAACAGTGGTGTGCTTTTCTCAAATCTCTTTTTAAAAGTTTTCTTCAGATGAACTCTTAAGTTTAAATGAAGTCAAGCTGTCTTCACTTGCAAAAGTTGTAAAAATGAACAAGGATGCAATGTATGAAATAAAAAACATGAATTAGGCATGTGGAACTGCCAATCAAATAATAACAAAATACGTGTGGTAAGCAGGTGAGTGGATTTTGAGTGTTTTAAAATTTTCTACAAATGTCAGGGAAAATAGCAATACAAAAAGGAAAGAAAATATAAAAGAGCAAATACAGTTCCCCGTGTGGACTCAGAGTGTCACTGTTGGACAACAAGGGAGCAGCCATGGATTAACAACATCTAACGTTTTGCCAGCCATATCCCTCCATTATATTTCAGCTTTTTAGAAAAGAGATGCAGAAGGAAGCATTAGTATAAAACCTGCCTGTTTCTTAAAGGTGAGCTAATAAGGACTTTTGAGATCTTGTTGCAAAGTATTACAAGACTTGAACTTGGAGAAGGGAAAAGGAAAAGGCAACAGCAGCCATGGAAATAAAGTGCATTGAAAGAATCAAGGAGCCCACGCTGAGGCAAGTACTATTTCTATTCCTAGTCTGGTCTGTGTTCTGCTATGTGGTGTCTGAGCAGGTTCACTATTCCATTCCAGAGGAATCAGAGAAGGACTCCTTTGTGGGGAACCTTGCTAAAGACCTGGGGTTGGAGGTGAGAGACTTGGCAAAGCGCAGGCTTGCAATCTCTTCAGAAAAGCAGTACTTTTCTCTCAATGAACACAGTGGCAACCTGTATGTGAAGGACAGGATAGACCGGGAAGAGATTTGTGGAAAATCACCCACTTGTGTCCTAAACCTAGAGGTTGTGGCACATAATCCCTTGAATATTTTCAATGTAAAAGTTTCTATTGATGATGTTAATGATAATGCCCCATATTTTCAAGAAGGAGATATTGAAATTGAAATGAGTGAATCTAACTTGCCAGGAGCTCGTTTTTCTCTTGGAAATGCTGAAGACAAGGACATTGGAATCAATTCCCTCCAGAACTATATTTTAAGCTCAACACCGTATTTCCAGCTAGAAATTATAGAGACCCAAGATGGTGGCAAATATGCAGAATTAATCCTTCAGAAACAACTGGACAGAGAAAAGGAAAAAAAACATGACATGGTCCTCACAGCTACAGATGGAGGTGAACCTAGAAAAACTGGAACTGCCACAATTTTGGTAAAAGTAGTGGATGTTAATGACAATACTCCTGTTTTCTCCCAGACAAATTACAAGATAAGCTTAAAAGAGAGTGCACCGATTGGAACCTCTGTGCTTCAAGTTAAAGCCTCTGACATTGATGAAGGATCAAATGGTGATGTCACTTATTCAATCAGCAGAATACAAGGTGGCGCCAAAAAATTTTTTAAACTAAATTCCAAAGATGGAACCATTTCACTTACAGAAAACCTTGATTTTGAGGATACACAAAATTATGTGATGGTGATACAAGCAAGTGATGGAGGTGGGTTGGCAACACATTGCAATGTGGAGATTGAGGTCCTTGATGAAAATGACAATGCTCCAGATGTGATCCTTACTTCCATGTCCAGCCCAGTTCCTGAAGATATTGCACCGGGAGCTGTGATTGCTCTCATCAAAGTTCTTGACAGGGATTCTGGAGACAATGGGGATGTTGTCTGTCATCTGCAGGATTTTGTGCCTTTCCAGATAGTCTCCTCTTCAGATCATTACTTCAAACTCCTCACTGAGGGATCCCTTGACAGAGAAAGGACTCCAGAATATAATGTCACAATCATAGCCACTGACAAAGGCACACCTCCTCTCTCCACTCACAAATCCATCTCCATACGGATCTCGGATATCAACGATAACCCCCCATTCTTTGAACAACCTTCCTATACTGCCTACATTCCAGAGAACAACCCATCCGGAGCATCCATCTTCCAGGTGAAGGCCTCTGACCCAGATCTGGACCGCAATGCCAGAATCACTTACTCCATTCTGGGCAGCAACCTTGAAGAGCTGCCTCTCTCCTCTTATATCTCCATTAATTCCGAGACTGGGGCCATCTATGCCCAGCGCTCCTTTGATTATGAACAATTCAGGGAGTTTCAGATTCAGGTAAAAGCCCAAGATGGAGGCTCGCCACCTCTTGATAGCAGTGTCCCGGTGACAGTTTGTGTTTTGGATAGGAACGACAACACCCCCCAGATTCTGTACCCTTCCCAAGCCACGGAGGGATCATCCCTCTTTGAGATGGTGCCTCGGTCAGCAGAGCCGGGTTATCTGGTGACCAAGGTGGTGGCCGTGGATGCGGATTCTGGACACAATTCTTGGCTCTCCTTCCATCTGCTGCAGGCCACAGAGCCCTCCCTCTTCAGCATTGGCTCCCACACGGGAGAGATTCAAACAGCCCGAGCAATGCTTGAAAGAGATGCTGTGAAGCAGAGGCTGGTTGTCATGGTGAAAGATAACGGACATCCTCCTCTCTCAGCCACTGTGACTTTGAACCTGGTGTTTGCGGAGAACTTCCAAGAAGCCCTCCCAGAGATGAATGCCCAACCTCTTGACTCCGAGTCTCAGTCTGGCCTGCAGTTTTATTTGGTATTGGCTTTGGCTTTGGTGTCCTTTCTGTTCCTGGTGGCAGTGATGTTGACCGTTGTGCTGAAATTCCAAAGGTCAAGAAGCCCGACGTTCCTTCAGTGTTTTGTCCCTGATCCTTGTTCAAAGAGGGGAGCCATATTCCCACCAAACTATGAGGAGGGGACCTTGCCTTATTCTTACCAGATCTGTCTGTCCTCTGAATCCCAGAGAAACGAGCTGACCTTTTTGCAACCCAATGTGCAAATAGCAGAGAATATCCTTTGCAATGGTAAACCTGATGCCTCATTGATGTTCAGTGATGGTATTCATTTGAGTTCTGGACATCAGTCTGGAGAAATGGTGAGTTTCATGTCTTTCTCTTTAGAGATTCATTTGTCACAAAAAGCACTTTAATAACCCAGTTTCCATACAAATAGTGTTTGGCAAAGTTTATGATCTTTTTACCTCTAGACAAGGTACAGTACATTACCAGAGAAGGCAACATTGAATCATTGTCACTATATAGCAAAGAAGTGGGTTATCAACAGTGATCCAGAGACAGTATATAGAAAGAGGGAATACTGCTGATTGACCCATGCAAAGGTAGCATGCAGAGACTACCACCCTCAAAAGGCATTGTGCTGGTGGGGTATTCTTTACAACTTCTACTTTATTTTCTCTCTATGAATTCATTCATTTATTTATTTTCTCTCTATGTTTGCAAAGTATCAGTGTAGTTATTAAAGTTGTGTGCACATTTAGGAGATTTGCATAGAAGTTGAAATATTATTGAGCAATTGCGGATGTATTGGTTGATACATTAGTTTTTAATTGGTGGAGGTTTTCTACTTTAATTCTACTATGACTGTGGTCAACACCAGGGAAATGTTCCCCACTTCTAACTGTACTTTCCATACCTATATTGTAATGCATCATGGCGAAGTGGTATATATACCTGGATGAGCATCCTAATGTGTTTTAACATTATCAATTCATTTTCTTCCATTTGAATAATTATGGCCAGCTATACTGTGGTACCAATTTATTTTCTCTCTCGTTTTATGGGGCAGTCGCTCCTTAACTTTTTTTTTTTTAATAATGGTATATCAATATATTGGGTACTGTTTCCTGATGGGTCACTCCTTAACTTATCTTTTTTAAAGATATAATGGTACATCAATATATTGGGTACTGTTTCCTGATGGGTAAATTTTCCTCTTTTGCGCTGGTGCCTTGGAAGCAAATGCATTGCACTCAATTGACCCAGCATCCACTCCCAGGGCTTTATCACATGCCAGACAGTAGGTGGAATGATGCAGCATCTACCAGTGCCTTTACAGCTGTTCACATAGGTTTACCAACATAGTGACACTCTGGCCATGGAATTATATATATCGTTTTTTTTGTTCTGGTGGTGTTTTTATATACGTATATATCCTTTAACTTCAGACAAGGTAAATGTGTACACACACACACACACACACAATGACACTCCAGCCATGGAATTATATATATATATATCTTTTTTTTGGTTCTGGTGGTGTTTTGAGATATAATATATATATATCCTTTACCTTCAGACAAGATATATGTGTATGTACACACACACACACACACACACACACACACACACATTTACCTTGTCTGAAGGGCTGATAAAGAAACTCACTGCAACCAGACCAAATAGTGTTGCTTGAACTCCAATATGCTTTTTGGATGTGAGAATCGCACCAAATGGTATATCACATTTCCATTCCAAGCAACCCAGTTTAGCCCACATCAGTCCGCTCCAAAATGATCAGTGTAGATGAGCCATTAATGAAAGGAGGACTTGAAGGAGGATTTTTTTCAAATGAGTTTGATATTCATATGAAAGTAAAAAACAAACTGGTGACTGTAATTTTGAGAACAATCTCGTTCTTTTGTATGCTGATATTCTTTCAGTATTTATCTAGTAAATTGTGAGAGATGGAGGGTTGGGAGCTGGGGGCTGGGGCTGAATTGGATGATTTTAAGTTTGGGTAGAGGCAGATGGTAATGTGGAGCACTCTTAATTCTCCAGGCTGATAATGAAAATCAACTGTATATGTACCTCCAGGTCCTGTAAGCTACTATAGAGCCAAATAGGCTATATACTGTATGTCTGAAGACTTGCCCTGCTGGTTTTTCCAGGCCACCTCTGGACACAAAATGGTAGAGCAGTAGCCAGATAATTTATGATAATATTGATATCTACATCTGATTCCAGTTTCAGCCAGTTGCTCTTATGCATCACTATCTACTGGAGAATGCTGAACAAATATCAAATGGAAAATGGTACAACTACTGTATGATTAAGTTACTATATAATTACAGAAGATCCAGTAGCAGGATGATTACATTTAAAGAGTCTAAGATACAAGAAGGAGTTGACAAGATACTACTGTTGCTCCCTTTGAGATAGAAAAGAAATGAAACATACTTTTTCTTCATATGAAGAATGTACAGTAATGCCTCGCTAGACAGTTACCCCGCATGACAGTTTTTTCGCTAGACCTTGACTTTCTGCGCTCACTATAGCGATTCGCAAAACGATGATTCCTATGGGGGAATTTTGCTGGACAATGTTTGGTCCCTGCTTCACGAATCAATTTTCGCTTGACAACGATTTTGACAGCTCCCTCCGTGCTCGCAAAATGGGTGTTTTCAGGACCTAAGCTTCGCAAGACAGCTATTTAAACAGCTGATCCGCGGTTCGCAAAGCGGCTTTCCTATGGCCGATCTTCATTAGACAATGACGATTCTTCCCCATTGGAACACATTAAACAGGTTTCAATGCATTCCAATGGGGAAATGCTTTTCGCTAGACGATGATTTCGCTAAATAACGATTTCAGTGGAACGGATTATCATCATCTAGCAAGGCACCACTGTATAAGGAAACAACACTTGTGCCTTTGTGCTTGTACACATGTGTGTACAGAGGTATAGATATTCTTTCAAAGATGAAAATCTAAGAGTTTTGCCTTATTTTTCCCAAAGTGCCCAAATCCTCCATATCCTCAAAAATACATGTGCTGAAAAGACAGAGCACAGATTCTGAGTGGCAGAGTAAACCTGAGATTCACAAACTGAACTATACTCTGAAACACACATGACCCTGTCCAAAACCTCAGAAGATCATCCTGTGTTCTGTTATGCAAGGTGATCCTTAATGTAGATTCAATTCCAGAGTACTGAAGCCAAGTAGCATTTCATATGGCACTTGCATAGGGGAAAAGGGGAAATGCTGAACTCCTAGCATTCCTTTGTTTGAGGAGTTGGGGGATATACTGTAAACCATCAACAGCTACCTGAGGTGGAATTTGAAACCTACACTCCTAACATGTGGAATATGCATATACTTTTTTAACTGTATCATATACAACAGGTATCCAGCCTGATGAAGACCAGTGTAGGTTGAAGGCTAGTGTTTGTGATTTTTAGTGGTTTAATAAAGGTATCACCTACCCTGTCCTTTGGATTGTATAAGTTAAGAGATGAAGTCAAAAGGGTGACCCATTTCTGTTTTCTGGAGCAGTTCCAAGTGTGGAAAGTAGAATCATATCAAACAGATGGCAACTGATACACGAATAGTAATGGTAAAAGTTGAGACACACCCTCTCTCCAGTTTCGTATGAAAACATTGTGAGAAACACTCTGGTCTGGCCATGTGACTGCATAATTCCGTTTGCTGGTTCATATACATTCATCCTGGATCATGTTCTATGTGTGTAAAAGTGTAACATCCAGTGCTCGTTCTGTTGCCAATATGAAGGTTAATTTTGGAAGCAAATTGGCGTATCTAGTGAATGGGATGGCAAAATTCACCCCTTTCTAGAAAGCAATGCAACATCTTGTCCTTCCTTTCTGTGTCCAAATGCAGTCCATTTCCATCTTGCCAATCAAGCTAGGTCTGCAGAAGCAGCAGCAGAACATCAGGAGCTCTAAGAAAAGAGCAGAATGTTGCCTGCTACTGATGTCTAACAAACTACTAAGTGAACTAGGTTTTGTGTAACTATCTCTTTTATTTGAAGTCTCATTTGAACATGATCAGGGAAGACCTTTGGACTTGGGTGTATATATGCGTAACCTATGAATGCTGTTCAGACCTTTCTTGTTGTTTTCCTTATTTCATGATAGAATTTAGTAATACTAAGCTTCATTAGCTTTAATTCTTTCTTGGCTTATTGTTCCTTAGGAGACAATGTGAGGAATAAAATTGCAAAGGATACAACCACTCCATGTCTACATGCATAGATAATCCAGCTGTGCTAGCTAGATTATTACTACTGTGTTGTAGGGGAGGGAAATAGTCTGATGCAGAAAGAATGGCATGCCGGGGGCCAGCTCAGATGGAGTTTTGAACTCTGGCCTTCCTGATTCAAGTTCCAAGATGCTTCCAGACAAAATATTTCTTCTTCTTCAATCATAGATTTTTACTGGATGTTGACAGAGAGGGGTCCAGACACCATAGTCTCCCACCAGGTGTTATCCTTTTTCCTCACCATAAAATATCCATTAAAAGGAACTGATAGAATAAGTGCAGAGTGCCTTGTGACGAATAGGGCCCTTGACTGGAAAGTCTCTTTAGTCTGTTATCTGCTTGTGATGCAACAGTACCAGGGAAAACAAAGTTGACAGAAGGATGAAAGTTATCCCTGAGGAAATGGAGCATCAGTTTTCTTTCTGGCAGGGAAAGGAGCCTTGTTCAGAGAAAAGTAAGTAAAACAGTGTGGGGTAGATAGAGGCCATATAGAGCTGGACCAACATAGACAAAGAATGAGTCAATTACAGTGGTGCCTCACATAGCGACGTTAATCGGTGCAGCAAAAATTGCTGCAAAGTGATTTCGCCGCTATGCGATTTTAAAAAGCCCATAGGAATGCATTGAAACCCCTTCAATGTGTTCCTGTGGGCTTAAAACTCGCCTTAAAGCGAAAATCCTCCATACGGCAGCTATTTTCGCTGCCCGGTAAGCGAGGAATCCATGTGAAAGCATAGCGGGTGGGGATGTTTTTTCCCGGCGGCCATTTTGGAACCGCCGATCAGCTGTTAGAAAATAATCACTTTATGATGATCGGTAAGGGAAACAGGGTACCGATCATCGCATAGTGATTTTTCCCCATTTAAAACATCACAATGTGATTGCAAAAAGTTCATCGGTATGCGATTTCGTCGTTAAATGGGGCGCCCGTTAAGTGAGGCACCACTGTATGTATTTTGAGTCAATATAAGCATCAGATCAATTAATATTAAAACCTAATTTTTTTTAGTTGTTTTGAAGAACTGCTAAAAGTAGAATCTTGATAACTGGTGTGAAAACATCAGGAAGCACAAGTCCTCTGTCTTAAATAGTTCCATGAAAAATACTTATTTCAAATAACTCTTTGAAAAAGCCAGTTAACAATCCATACGAGGGTTTGTTCTGGACATTCCAACATTGTAGAGGAACTGAAAACCTCATACGTTTCAAGATCGTATCCCTATTCAGTTCGAATAAATCAGCACAATTAGGTTCTTATTTATTTTATGACTAAATTCAGTCGCAAAGAAGAAACATAGATATCAAATAAATATAAGGCTTCTACATTTCTATTTTCATAAACATCTTCCAAAAAGGACAACATATAACTTTAAAAAAAGGAAGCAATGGTGTAGGTAGAACAATGTTTAAAATTTGAAAACTAAGATTTCTGCAGTCTGGTGTAGAGCCTCCGGGTGTCACTGTTCACCAACATGGAAGAGAAAAGAACATGCAGCCAATCTAGAGCTGCTCTTCTGCTAACCATCAGTGCAAGATTACTAATACAGTAATAAGAACAGCCTGGCTGATGGCGAAAAGAACAGAATAGACACAGATTTTTGCATGCTATCTTGGAGAAAATACAATATCTTTGGAACCAGAACTAGGAGCCTTTGTCCTGCTGTAAGAGAATGGAAGAAACACAGAAGCGATGGACCTGCAAAATAGGAATCCTACAATGTCTTATCATGATGTTTGTCTGGAAGGCTGTTACTGGGCAGATCCACTATTCCATTCCTGAAGAGATGCACAAGGGCTCCTTTGTGGGGAATATTGCTAAAGACCTGGGAATGGACAGGCAGCAGTTTTCAGACCAGGGGCTCCGCATTATTCCCAACGCAGGTAAGAGTCAGTATTTTACCTTGAATGTCAACAGTGGACATTTGCAAACCTCTGAGAGAATTGACAGGGAGGAAATCTGTGGAAGAGCAGAAAAATGCATCTTAAGGTTCCAGGTTTTTATTGAGAGTAAACTAAAGCTTTATGGTATTGAAGTGGAAATTACAGACATAAATGATAATGCTCCCCACTTCCCAGTTGAGGAACAGGAACTGAAGATCAGTGAGGCTTCTGCACCAGGATTCCGGGTCCCATTGCCTGAAGCCTGGGATCCAGATTTGGGACTAAATTCTGTACAGGACTACGAACTTACCGGCAGTGACCATTTTTTCCTGGATGTTCACATAGGGGAAAATAGTGTCAAACATGTTAAGCTGGTCTTGGCAGAACCTCTGGACAGGGAGAAGCAATCAGCTTACAATCTCATCTTCACAGCTACTGATGGAGGTGACCCAATCAGATCCGGCACTATGGAAATCAAAGTGAAAGTTCTGGATGCAAACGACAATGCACCGGTTTTCAGTCAAGCATTTTATGAATTGAGTGTTGAAGAGAATATTCCTATAGGATCCCATGTAGCTACTCTAACTGCCACTGATCCTGATGATGGGATAAATGGGGAGATAAAATATTCCCTTACACCAACTACAAAACTTAACCTTCCAATTTTTTGGATTAATTCCACAACAGGTGAAATTACTCTTCTAGGCAAGCTTGATTATGAGGAATCATCTTTCTATGAATTCGAAGTACAAGCAAATGATGGAGGAGGATTGAGTGACAGATCAAAGGTTGTTTTCACTGTTACAGATATGAATGATAATGCACCTGAATTAATAGTTACCTTTGTCACCAACACCATACTAGAAAATTCACCCCCCAGAACGGTCATTGCCATTTTGAATGTACAAGATCGTGCTGCAGGGTCAGAAGACAGCAGTCCTAATATCCAATCCATGCGACGGAGTGAGCTTCCGTCATTTGTCCCAGCTCCTGCCAACCTAGCAGTTTGAAAGCATGTAAATCCGAGTAGATAAATAGGTACCACCTTGGTGGGAAGGTAACGGCATTCCGTGTTTAGTCACGCTGGCCACATGACCACAGAAAACTGTATTTGGACAAACGCTAGCTCTACGGCCTGGAAATGGGGATGAGCAACGCGCGCAGTCTAGTCGGACACGACTGGACTAAATGTGAAGGGGAACCTTTACCTTTACCTATGCAATCATGGTTATCTACCATGGCTCCTAGATAACCCCTGTATTTATGACACAAGTATCCATCTTCTATAAATGTAGTCCCTTTTCACTAAGCGCATAAGTAGGTACATGTTTCTGTCTTAAGCTTCTTTTAGAAAATATATTTTGGAAGCAATTTAGAGTAAATGCTAAGCACCTCTAATTAGAAGCTAGCCCTACTAAATTAAGATAAATATTTTCCATAATCCCCATAAGTGATATATACAATTCACAATAATGATCACAAATACAATAATTTAACATGTGAAATAAGTCAGGAAAGGAAGAGATTCATTGTTTCCCTTTGCTCAAAACAAATATGGCATAGCCTCTACTTTATAGGGTATGAATATTTAGCCCAGACTGATTTCCAATTGATTGCAGTTACTATTGAACTGTTTGCATTAAGCTTCTACAGCCATGCAGCTTAGCACATGTTCACTCAACAGCAGTTGCCTGGAAGTGTCATATTGCACCTGCTTAATTGCAAACACATCCATGGGGCTTGTCCTGGCCCACTAAAATCTAGGAAGGTGGGCCATGCAGTGCCACTATATGAAGCAGCCTTCTACCCAGTCACACTGTTGCCCATTTCTTTCAGAATTGTTTACACACTGAGTAGAAGCAAATGCTCAGCTTCTTGAGTCTGGGAGTTTGAATTTCAGTGGTGTTCCTGTGTCACAGTTTGTGGGGATTGATGGAGTCCGGGCCTTTCTTCACTCTTATTGCCATGAGGTTTCTCTGACTAGGGACTCTAGGAAAAGCCAGTTTAACATTTCAAAGGCAAACTATTCAGGCACTATGAACACTCAACAAAGTAGTGAGGCAAAGGACCCAATACTTTCTGGTGTTGATTTAAACTTGAATAATGGTGAGCCAGTCCTGATTCAGGTGAGTAAACAATTTTAGATTAACCAGGTTTTGTTTTGGGGCTCTGATTAAACTTGACAGAAATTCAGCATCTGTGTTCTGCTTTTAAAATTGTCTTGTTTGTTTAGTAATGTGCCTATGTTGGTGTTTGTTTGTTTTTCATTGTTTTTTATTTCTATGTTTGTTATTTTTGCACTCTTCTTCTTTAATTGCATATTTCTGGGAATTTACGATTGCTTTTTTTAGTGGGTACACTTAGACACCCTGTTATGGATATGTTGAGAATAACTCATTGTATGGAGCTGGCCTTTCCTTTGAGTAAACATGTGTGTCATCTGAAATATACTACAGATCATATATTTGTTTTTTCTTTTGTTCTGGGAAACTCCCAAACCAAAAAAAAAAAAAATAACATTTCTGTTATATTTATTTTGATGGTTGAAGTTAACTCTTTCTTTAGTTTTTTCCACTATTCAGAGAAGGAAAAATATTTGTATGAATTGTTCCATATCAAATTTATATAATTTAGAATGTGAGAAACAAATGCAATAACAGAGCTGATGTGCTGGTCTTAAGCAGCTTGTGCCCAGTCTATCTACAGTGTAATCCTAATGAGAATGAGTATCTTCAGGGGTTATTGAAAGCAGAGTAGAAATGTCAGGTCTTGTTGTACACAAGGAGACAGTATCAGAGAGTTTGGGGAGCATATGACAAAGACAGACATCTGTTGATGTCATATAGGGCCATCAGTCCAAACAGGACGCAGCTAGAAGTGCAGTGCATAAGCTGAGTTGGGTTGTCAGGAGATCAATTACACAGCAGTGCAAGAAATGGTAAAAACAAGGAGCAAGGCAGCCAGAGCTGTTTCCAGCACTGGGCTGAGCTTTTTTATGCACCTGTGGCTTGGTGACTCCCTGGCACACTCAGTCAGGTAAAACTAAGGCATCCTCTGTTGGAACTTTGCACTCTGTCTTGGCTGGGTCTGGGTATCCTGCTCTATGTAATGCTTTCATCCCCTGGGGCCTGGGAGTTGTTCATCTTCAGAGGTTTTCTCCCCATCTGAAATAAGTGGATTATCTCAGGAGGAACCAGGGCCTGCCTCTGCCTCCAGTTTCTCTAGGGAGGGACTGACAGCTGGCCTTGAGTTCTTCTTCCAATTCCAGTCAGTCCAGCTGAGACATGTCCTCCTGGCTTTAATCCTAAAGGGAAGAATCCTCCAGGTGGGGCAGACAGTGCATGGGAATATGGCACTAACTTAACTGATACAGAAGTATATACTGAATGAAAAACAAAAATGATTATTGGGTGGGACATCCTTAAAAATTTTATGATGAGGAAAGCTTCATTTAATACAGTATCTGTAAGTTATGATGTAAACAGATTTAGTCTGCAGTGTGGAAGTTTTAACTGATCTGCCCAAAAACCCTTCTCATGTAAGAATTAAGAAGGTTATGCTCAAAATCCTACAGGGTAGGCTTCAGCAGTATGTGGACAGAGAAATCCCAGAAGTACAAGCTGGATTCTGAAGGGGCAGAGGAACTAGAGACCAAATTGCTAATATGCATTGGATTATGGAGAAAACCAGAGAGTTCCAGAAAAACATCTACTTCAGCTTCATTGACTACGCAAAAGCCTTTGACTGTGTCAACCACACACCTTCATGGAAAGTTTTTAAAGAAATAGGAGTGCCTGACCACCTTGTCTATCTCCTGAGAAATTTATATGTGGGACAGAAAGCAACAGTTAGAACTGGATATGGAATAACTGATTGGTTCAAAATTGGGAAAGGAGACCGACAAGGCTGTATATTTCCCCCCGGCTTATTTAACTTATATGCAGATTACATCATCATTGAAGCTACCAACATGAATTTGAGCCAACTCTGGGAGGCAGTGGAAGACAGGAGGGCCTGGCATGCTCTGGTCCATGGGGTCACAAAGAGTCGGACATGACATATTGAATAAACAACAACAACAATTACTGGCACATATCTAAGGCCCCCAGCCTGCCATTTGCAACAATGGCCGAATCACTGAAATACCTCCATGTAGACTGCGAGCATGATACAGTATGAAGATAATTAATCTTAAGTGTTGTTGCCCTAGGCACTCAATAACAATTCTTTGAAGGCATATTTTCAGGTAATATCGTGCCATCAGTGTAGTGTGAAAGAGGGAAACCTACATAAAGAAAATCATGGACTGATAATCTTTAAATGAATAGTAAAGAACATGTAGAAACACATTTTCCAAGTTGGATGGAGGCAAGAGAACAGAATGGGAAACAAAGGTGTATATTTATGATGAGGAAAAATAATCTGCTATATGCATTGACTGAAGCATTTTTCTTTTATACTGAACTTGAACTCCTATATCATTTCTCAGCCTAGCCTAGTTTAGCTTCCCAATAAAACTGAATACAGAAGTACAGGTCTCTCACATCTCAACAACTAGACAGAGATGGAAGTGCAAGTATGGTTCTGAAATTCCCGTCATTGCTTTCTTTATTGTGGAGGAGATCTGAATGGATTATTGCTACCTGTGATGTTCTTGGTGCAAAGAGATAGTGTAGCCCATAGTTTTATCCCATATCTGTGTAACATGTGCACAGCCCTACAGTCTTATAATCTGGCTCAGAGTTGGGAAATAACAAGGCATGAATAATAGTGTAACTTATAATGAGTTGCTTCTTTCATAATGGTTTAACGAAGTCACAATTCAAAATTAACATGACGAATGGAAAGTACTTTGCTTTGGGGTTGTAATGAATAATATTTTCTAGCTATCTTTTAGGGATATTTGATGGCATTTAGACATATTTCTTCTTTTTAAGTGACAGAAATGCAACTAATATGAATACCAATACGAATACTTTATTGCTTCTTAGCCAGTCAGGCCATTTACATAAACAGAAATTAAATCACTGTTTAAAAAATAGTATTTGACACCTAATATAAGTACATATGAACATCATACTAAAAATAAATTATTTGGGGCTTGTGAAGTGTTATACAATTAATTACTTTTCAAAGTGATTTGATTAGCTCTGACCCAACCTTGTTGAATATGCCAATATTATTATTATGTATTGCTGATAAGGAGTTCACACTTGAAATAAGATTTGAAAGAGGACTTCCTGATCCGTAGCACAGTTTCCTTGCCACTGTGCTGCACTGGCAAATGATGTTGCTTTAATTTTTGTGTGTGTCTAAAAACTGATCACCATAACCATCTCCTGAAAAAGAGAAGAAGCTGATCCCATAACTACAAATACTCAACTATCCCACACACTACACCAGAACACAGACAGAGTTCTAACTCCTTTCTTTTGAAGATGCCGGCCACAGAGACTGGTGAAACATTAGGAAGAAAAACCTCCAGAACACGGCCAAACAGCCCAAAAAACCTACAACAACCATTGGATCCCATCTGTGAAAGCCTTCGAGAAAACAAGGGAAATATTCTTCAAAAAATACAAACTGTGTACACACTTTCTAATATGAGGTCTTGTTTCTAAATGTCTGTGGCACGAATGTGAAGGAATGGATATAATGAACATTGAGAATAAGAATGTTCTCAGGAACATTGTTTTTCCACCTTTAGAATAAAAAAACAGCAGGAAGGGCAACCCATTGGTTGCATGTGGCCTAGGAGGTTGTCTCTGTTGGCAACATGGACTTCCTGAGTCACTCAGTTCTACCCCATGCTGCTTCTGCCAGGACCAATGTCTCTTCCTCCAAAAACAAGACCATCTAGTATAATCATTCACACTAGGTTTTACTTGCACACAGTTTTCTTTAAATATCCATATATTGTAATGGGTTTGTGCTATTTGCAAAAGATTTTATTGTATTAATTTTACCACTTTATATTATGTATATATACATTAACATTTATATACTGTAGATACATAGATATATTTCTTCATTTTTCCTTAAAAAAACCACAGTTCATTGCCATGGATCTTGCATTCTGTTTCTACATTAACAGAAGAATAAAGCACGTTCCCTCAAAAATATCTACACTAGAATGAAATATCTGAGACAGAGTACAAATTAGTTTCTGATGTACCGTGATGAAGACTGGAACTTGTGTTCAGAGACAGCTTTTGCAAACATTATTATTTTCATAAAAACCTCAGGAAAGGCAACAAGCTGTACAGGGTTCCATGTCATAGTTTGGACATGGCAGATATCTTAACTGAAAGAAATGTCTTTGCTGATGGCATCTTTCATAAGGGGAATCCATTATCTGGGTGCAGTTATATTACATTTCATGTGGCTTCTGTATATTGCAAAATGGGGAGGGGACAGGCAATTAGGCAGTAATATGGTCAACTAATTTACCCAAAGCAGTTTTAAGGTAAAAGACTCAATGGTATAAGGTTTCATCCCTATTGAAAAAGAGAAAGACAGACAGACAGACAGACAGACGTGTTGCTGAGAGGATGACCACAGCAGTGAATGAGAGGGAAGTTGGGCAGGCCTCAGCCTGAGAAAGTCCACTTTGCCCAAATTGTTCAATGGTTCAATTGTCCAATTGTACAAGTAGAAGTTAGTCTTGGAAATAAGGCTTTGTGAAACTATGTGCAACTTCTTTGGTTCCTTCAGTCACAAGCTAATGATTTTGTAGCACAGCCTAGAAGGCACTGGTAAGGGGTAACAAGAGTATAGTTAGCCGCTCTTTTGGTAGACATGCTGCCATAGTAGCAAAGAAGCTAACATTCTGGAACCTAATTATGTACATCTTGGCTTTAAGATCTTAAGTTCTTACATGAACAAAGAAAATCTGGTCTGGCTCCTTCTGTTGTTGAAGATGTACAGCTCGTCAGTTTTACATGACAAATCACTCTTTGTCAGCAACACCAATGAAAATCCATTGAGGCAAAGAATGCAAGAGCCGGTGATGATTCCTTGCAGGACATGCTAGCAGCGGTTCCACGTGGTGGGCATCCATCGTGACGATGACCTTTTCTTCCCATATTGTCTATGAACTAGAGAGGACCTTTTATACATTCAGCCTCCATTTGAGATCTGTGAG